ATCCCACCGCTGCCACCAGTTGTAGAGGGCCGCCACGTCGAAGACACCAAGGTTTCAGGTGAACTATATTTCATGACCGCCCATCGCCAACACCGCGCCTGAACTCCTCGTGGACGCTGACGGGAAAAGAACGAAACCTCGGAAATGCACGGACTAGACCTCGAACTAAACAGCGGAAACCGACAGAACAGAGACTTAAATTAGGAATACAAAATGAATACGAAAATAGCATGGATTGACTAACACTAAATTAGTCCTCAAGATAATAGCAAGCTAAGCGACCCAACAAACGAGAAACGAGCACTAAATCAAACTAGACATGTAAACGATATACCGACGTAAACGATATATACACGCTTCAGGCTCAAAACATGTGCTGGAGCCCTCTTCACACCCATTCGGAAACGTCGCCTACACGCATCGATGCATGCGGCGTAAGCGTAAACCGGTTAGAAGCCACGTTCGTACGAGCATACTAGTTACCTGCGACTCAATCACTGCAAACTCAAGCTCACTACGAACTCAAAGTCATTGCAAACTCACTGCGAACTGAACAGCTTTACGCCAATGTCCACGTCAGCGCAGTGCGCATATCAGTTCATAACATATCAGTTCACAACATATCAGTTCACAACATGTATTACACACGTCAGCCCGCTATCAGAACTGCCCTTATCTTCTTAAAACTTAAGTTGCGATCAGCATCATCGGTTCACGATGAAAAGGGGAGGAGCCGTGGTCAGTGCGGGTGCGACGGTTTAGCAAGCTCGAACCATCGGCCTTGTAACGCCGCATGGAAGCAGTGCGAGGTAAAATGTCGCGTTTTGCCCCTCCCTCTCCAAAAAACGTAATCGCCGAGCGCACAATTTTAACCGAAAATGTCGTGAGAATACCAAATGGTAGCCGGCCGAATCACGTCATCATATGTGCAGTTTCTTCAGGTTCTCGCCGCCATGGACTGATATGGTCCGTTGCCGCGTAGTTGTCCCAACTACGGCCAGTCCAACCAAGTTATAAAGAGTCTAAACGATCAGTGTAGGTTCAAGAAATGATTTTCGGAGACGCACAGTCATTGTGACAAAAACGATGTTTGCTCATAATCGGAAATGTGCTTCTCCTGTCTTTGAAAGAAAAGGCAACATTTCATATAGCTATTCGAGCCACATAATTTTCTCCGTGCGTTTGGTGGCTCTTAACAGTGAGCAAAGATCATAGACATCATCACGAGCGCGTGTGCCCCGGACTTTTGGATGAGGAGGGCGGCTGGCCCCCTGCTCCTCGCCGTCCCTCCGCCTCAGCGCCTCTCCGGTACGAGCTTGTACGGTTTGGGACTGCGAAGGACCGTACCTTTTGGATCTTCCCCCAGGTCGTGTGTGAACCCCTCTGGCCAGCGGAAGGTAAACTTCTGCATGAAGCAGGTGACAAAGAGGAACAGCTCAGCCCGCGCCATACTCTCGCCCACACACTGTCGCTTGCCCACTGAGAACGGCATGACGTTCTTGTCCGGCTTGAACTTGCCGTCGGCGTCCAGGAAACGCTCGGGCCGGAACTGCAGCGGCTCGGGGAACAGCCGCTCGCTGTGGTGCACGCTTTGCACGTTAGCGATGACCTGGACACCGGCCGGCAGTAGGTGTTGGCCAACTTGGACGGGCGCCACCGTCTGGTGCATCAGCAGCAGGGGTGCGATGTCCGCCAATCGCTGAGTCTCCAGCAGCACGGCCTCGACGTACGGAAGACGCGACCTGTCCGAGAGGGACGGCAGCCGCTGCCGGCCCACCTGGCCGTCCAGCTCGGCCTGCAGACGCCGCTGCACCTCTGGGCGGCTGCACAGGAAGCAAAAGGCCCAGCGCAGCGTCTTAGCTGTTGTGTCGTTGCCGGCGAAAATCATATCCATCACCGACATGAGGAGGTGCCAATCGGTCAGCAGGTCCGGTCGTTGCCTCTGCTCTCGAAGCATGGCCTCCATGTAGTCGCGAGGCTCACTGAGCGTATCAAGATCTTCCCGATGTTTCTTGATGGAGGGCATGAACACATCATCCACTACACTTTCAAATTGCTTTTCAATCTTTGTCTTATTGAAAACAAAACTTGGTAGCACGTCGCTAAGCCATGGGGCGACATCAAGAATTGCCATGCGCTGGGCAACCTGGACAACTTGTGAACGTGTAGTGATGGCGTTCAGGACCTTGGTGTCGGCGAGGCTCAGCTCCTCCGACGCGACCAGCTTCCAGAGAATGTTGACCACGGCGACGTTCAAAGACGTGTCAAAGGCAAGTTCAGAGCCGCAATTCGGCGCCAAAATCTCGTCCATGTAACTGGTGATCTGATAGTGCATATACTCTTCCAGTTTGGACTTGCCCATGCCCAAGTTGCGCAGGTGATGAAGCGTCAGACGCCTGGATTCCTGCCATAGCTCACCCTGGGAAGAGAGTAGTCCTGTTCCATTCACAATAAATTGAAATATTTGAGTGTCGGGTCGACCGCTTAGCTCATGTCGACTGAAGGCCTCTCGGATTAAGTCGGGATCGCTGATCACAATCTGGTGCATGACGCCAATCTTGACATGATAGATGGCACCATACATCTTGGCCCATTCGGCATAGGTGTGGTGGACGTGTTTCAAGTCCATGGAGAAGAGGTTTCCCACCCATGGCATGAGTGGTGGACCTGTAAATAAGAACAACGGTTTGTCTCAAAGCGCGAAAATCACAAATCGGGTATTACGTTGGTTCAATAGTCCATTTTTTATTTGGTCGACTACGCAATGAACCCTCATGTTAATTGGCCCACCTCACCTTTGTTTGACTATGCTCTCACCTTTGGTGCGATATTACTGAGGTAAGTAGTGAGCAAATCTTGATATATTTGGATGGCGAGCATCCTGATAGCCCCAGAACACTGGTGTGCGAACTAGGGTTGCATCTTTTGGGCCAAACGCACCGCAAAGCGTGGATTAGTACCCCTCGTATAGGTGATCAAATTTACCCCCCCCGAAGCATTTTCCAGAATGATTTCCGAATGTCGCAGCGTAAACACGTTCAATATTGCGTAGCTGTACAAGATTAAAGAGAAAATCGTTTGGTGCCAAAAGCGTAGATTCATGTTGTAAGGTCACTGACTTGCAGCAGGTCAAAGTTAGCCCATGGGTTCAGCGAATACAGTTTCTAGAGAATCGTTCATTGGATGAAACAGCGGAGTGTTAGGCAAAGCCCTGCATCTATGAGATAGTTTTCAGGTGGCACAACAATTGATTTGACAAATTCCATCGACTTAGGGCCAAGAATGAGCGTCAGACCAAGGTCAAAACCGACCTGTTTTTACTCTGGAACTTCTTCAATGAACTAGCTTCTCGTGCTCATTTTGAATTTATTTATTGCATTTTGCGCATTACACACCTTCCAAGGGGATAACAGTTCATTGACATAAAATGACACAGGTCAACATATTTTAGAAACATGCTTCCTAGTGTAATCATTGGCGATTATTCCGCTGCAAAATTCAACGCAATGTCGCATGATTTTTATCAATATGTCCTTCTAAAGATCAAGAAAGGTCACTGACCTTAAATGGGCAACAGTGTTTGGGGGCGCTTTGGACACAAATGGAGATTTTGACGTTATTTGACCAGGAATCTTAAATTTTGGCGCAAAGGAATTCACGTACCTGTGAACACTCTATAAATTTGGTGTCTAACTCTTGTAGTTTTCAAACTCTTAGGGGAATCCAATTGACTCCCACCCAAGCAATGCGTATTCAACCGATCGTCCAGTCGCGTTTTAAGCGCTTGTAATGGTTTTGCGTGTTTAACTGGCAGACTTGCGGGTTCTGACGGGTTGTCGGAAATACAGACGAAGCCTTCCAGCCTGCTAGCCTGACCACGTTCAACTCTCAAGAAGCTGCGCGCGTTTACCCGGGCGATCAGCTAGACTTGGTGATCCTATACGGGTAAAAAATCACACAGAAATTGTTGCATTTTCTTCTATTTATTGTGTTTAAGAAACAGATCGTGCTGCCAAACACAACACGCACATCAACTAATCATATCTTTATTTTTACAGAAAGAAAAGGCCCTCAAACCTTCGTATGGAGCCGCTTTGAACGTACATGACTCTTTGGCAGCAAAATGCAATTATCGTTCATTTAAGGTCACACATGTTTTCTCTTTAGAGGTTCGTAATGATTGGAATCATGCGATTTTTTTTATATTCGTACATTTGGCTAAACGTCAAGTATTGCGTTCCACGGTGCATTCATGAGAAAAATGTCGGTCTGAGTTATTTTAGGTCAGCAACAGTGTACTGGAATTGCCGACTTTGGGTGTAAAGCAACACCCTATGAGGAGGAATTTTTCGCTCCTTTTCACCATATTTTATGTGAATTTTTCACTCTTGCTTGACATTGTCTAATCACACATTCCAAACCACTATTTCCATTTCCGAGGTTTTCAGATGTCATCCAAAACCGAGCTCACTTGAAACCACCAAGGATAAACGAGGCTCCGCAGAACCTGGACACCAATGGCTATGTCCTGCCTCACCTACACCTGAATCATGTCTATGTATGCACAGAGCAAGGGCGCCAGGTACCTCCAAGCACAAGAACCCCAGGGACCCCAGCCGCTTGCACGCATTAAGTTTGGTTTGTTTACAAAATGCATCACAATCTGCAGCTGTGTCCCAAATGCAAGGCTTTCACGCATCCCTTATTCTTTGGTCTCACCACCACACCACGAAAGCAGAGCCTGATGCAAACACCAGCAAGGCCTCGTAGAGAATTTTACGCCCCGTATTTATTTTCTCCCGAGGAAACTTGACCACTAAATTGCATCACTCTCGAAGTGCATGAGTGAAAAGTTCAAGAAATGCCTTATAACTTGAACTTAGAAGATGAATACCACCATTTGAGCACTTATATTAGCATATTTGAAGTCAAGTCAGCTGATTGCAAAATTTTGCGAAAAAGTGCCAGTTTTTATATTTATTTAGCTACTTTTGTTTTTCTTGGTATCATACCAATGTCATACCACTTTATGCTTTCTTCCTTTTCGATTGACTTTAGAGGTACCATCTGCTAATTAAAATTTTGACCAATTTCTCTGCAAGATGCTCCAACTGCAAACTTGCACCCAACATGCACCCAAGCGTGAACAATTCACAGGGAATGAAGGAGACAATTTGAAGCACGGAACTTATTTGTATCACCATTCTTGCCCTCTTAAACGTTCGGTTAACCGTTTTCTTGCCTCATGGCGGTGCTCAATAATAAATCCAAGCCTTTCGAGTGTCTGACTCACCAGGCTACCTAGCAGGGCATTAGCATTATAATAATTGCTGCCATATGGAGCCTTGGGACAGACCTGACGCAGCTAATACAGAAGTGTTTGATGGCGAAATTCTGCCCTCTGGAGATGTTTGTCATGCGCATCTGTTACTTGCTTCGCACTTTAACCTCGAAGGTTGGTGGGCATGATAGATATTTATATTTGGGGGGGGGGGGGTGACTCGGATGACTCTGCCTGCCAGCAGACCATACAAAAGGTACTGAATTTTGGTTTTTGGGGGAGGAGAAAGAGGCCGGTAAGTCTCCTGTGGACCAAGTAATTGCTTACCTTACCTGCTTTCAACACATGATTGGTAACTACAGTTAGCCATTTTCTGCTTAAATGCAACGAGTTTTGCCATAAGACAAATCATGATGCCACGAGGCATGCAGTGGGCTTATTCTGTTCCATATTCTTGGTTATTTGCCCCCAAATTTTCTTGAAGTGGCCCCTCATGGCTGCTTTAACCAGATGTTCTCTATAGTTGTCATAGTTTGCTGACTGGCAAATGACTGTACTGTATATATGCACTATTTTTTAACACAGGGATACTCTAAGCTGCATAGTGATTATAATATGAGTTAAATATTGTTACGTAACAAATAGTCAGACCACCCCATTTAAAAGATAAAGCCAACATCTCAAACTTTGTCATCAAATATGAAAAACAAGTCCAAATGGATCAAAGGCATGAAAAGGCAAGCAACAATAAGCAGGCCTGCAGATGCAGCAGCCGCAGGCCTACAGATGAAAAGGCAAGCAGCAATACAGGTATGGTCATCTAAAATTTATGTTATTTTTGGAGAAGAGAGCATATTGTGGAGCATACCCATTGTGGAGCATACCCATACCCCTTGACATAGGCTATCCATGACAATCAAACTAAGTTGTTCAAAGTGATTTAAAGTGTTTTGATTTGTGTGTTGTCAACATTGTCTGATGTCAACAAGCATGCACGAATGAACTGAATAAAAATGCAAGTTGAAACGAGCCAAAAACTAGCTTTAAATATCATGTTTTTATCACAAGTGCTGCTGTCAACAGACAGGTGAGTTGAGATGATGTTCATCATATGGGCTACTCTAAGTTAGGTTAAGTTGGTCAGGTGCATGGCAAGTGACAATAGGCATCGTGCAAGAATCATTGACTTACAACTGCTGCTGTGATACAGACAGGTCATACAGGATGACATGATGTAAGGCCTCTTTAGGTTAGGCATAGACCACTTTCATGGAGATAAGCATTGGTATTTTGTCAGAAACAGTGACAAAATATTTGTTTTCCCCGACTCCACCTTAACAGAAGCCAGAAGTATGTTCATTGTGTTTGACTTGATGCTGGGCTGATGTGTAGGAGTCCAATGGTTTTTGGTTGAGTACTTTATGCTTGTTGAATTTTTCGTTGTTATATTGTTATTGAATTTGCTTTGCTTTGCTTTGTTTTGTTTTAAAAGTGCTGTGGAAGGGAATTGGAAACTGCAGCATCAAATTATTGGTGTTAATAATTTGTTATGCTCATAATACTGTCATGAAGGTACCATGCTTTAACACGCGCCCGGTTAGCCGGCTAGATACCCTTCGCTCGGGTGGGGCGGGGGGGAATTTGAACCCCCCTCTGAGATCTCGGGAACTAAGAAAGCTAGAGGCACCAAATTTACAGGGTGTCTTGACCTATACGTGAACTCACTTAGGTTTGGGTTCAGATAGTCATTGTGTTTGACTTGGTGATGGGCTGATGTGTAGCAGTCCAATGTTTTTTTGTTTGAGTGTTTTATGCTTGTTGATTTTTCTGCTGTTATATTGTTATGGAATTCCTTTGCTTTGTTTTGTTTTAAAAGTGCTGTTAAGGGAATTGCAAACTGCAGCATCAAATTTTTGGTGTTAGTAATTTGTTATGCTCATAGTACTGTCATGAAATTACTATGCTTTAACACGCGCCCGATTGGCCGGCTAGATACCCTTCGCTCGGGTGCGGGGGTCAATTTGAGCCCCCCTCTGAGATCTCGGGAACTAAGAAATCCAGAGGCACCAAATTTACAGGGTGTCTTGACCTATGTGTGAACTCACTAAGGTTAAGGTTTCAGCTTCCTAGGTCATGACCTTCAGGTCAAATAAAGTTAAACAAGGTCAAATTCCAGGTTGGTCTCCAAAGCGCCCCCAGAACCTGGGCAACTGTCTCTAAGGAAAAGTTCACAAGCCCATTTGAGGCCATTGACCTTGTTTGACCCTTTGAAGGTCATGGTGACCAAAATGACACAAGACTGCTCTGCATTTTGCATTTGAATAAGCGACAAAGGTTACGCTCTGCAGCATGTTCCTAAAACAAAACGTTCGACCCGGTGGTCTTA